CTATGTTCGGTTAACGCCTTCCACTGCTTTCGCCTCTTTCGTTGGGCCAAGAGTGCCCTCCCTAGCTCTTGCTTGATTCTCTTCCTTGCCTCTTTTCTCTTTCGCTTACGCTTTCTGTTCTGTTCTATACTGATCTATTCTCGTTTCTTGTATGCTTTTTTGTTTACTTACAATTAGATTTAATGTTTTTTTTTCTTCATTTACTTTTGGTTTCTTTGTTCAACTAGTCTTACTTTTCTTAAGCGAAATAAGCACAAAAGCTGCAAAATGTTATGCTTAAACTAATTTTTCTTTATTTAATCTGTTTTTTTTTTGTTTTTACTTTGTTTTACTTCTCTTGTAACTGTATCTCTTGATCTCCAATTCAGATTTTCAATGTATGATTTTTTGCATTCAAGTTGAGGGCACAAAAAGTACGCGTATAAATTTGAAAGTTTTAGCAAAGATGTCGCAGTTTCGCATTTTTCTTGTTGTCATTTGTCCTTAGGTTTCCTTTCGCTTTTACTAGAGGTTTAGATACAATTCTTTTGTCATATAAAAAATGCTTAAAAGCGTCACATTGATGCAAAAAATAATACCTTAAAAAATACACAGAGAGTTGAAAAGGATTCTTATTAATGGCTTCGTTTGCGTTCGTTCTTCCCGCAGTTTTTGTTTTTGTATTCTTTTTCTTTTCCTGGAGAATTACAAAGAGAGATATAGTTTTTTCTTTTTCGTTTTACTTTTGCGCATTTGCTTTGCTTAATTTTTTTTGTGGTTTTTGGTTTTTGTTGGTTTTATTATTGTTAATAAGAAAATGAATAAAGTTCTTTAAAAGACTTTGATTTAAAACTTAAAAATAGCAACAAGCGAAATGTACATTACTCCCATTTAATTATTCTGTTCTAAGTTTAATTAGCTGCTTGCCTTTTACGCTTACTTAAAGTTAGTTTACGCCTTTGTCGTCGTGTTTTCTTCCATCCCTATTCCTCCTCCTCCAACTACGGTTCGCCTCGTTTACTCGTTTCCCTCTGCCTATCGAAACTTTTGTTTTATGTGTTTTGCTTTCTTTTGTTTTGTTTTGATGTTTAAATTTAATGAGCTTGTTTCCTTTGCCTAGCTTTCGGTCGTGTCGTTCCTACTGCCTTGCTGCCTTTGACGAGTAATTTTACTTTTAATTATTTTCATTTGTTTTTTCTCCTTTTGTTTCGTTTATATTCTTGGTTTCGTCAAAAAAGTTTCAAAAAAATATATATTCATCATTTCCTTAAATTGGCTTAATTAAAAAATGTTTATTTATCCTCGTCTTCGCCTCTCACGCTCCTCGCACGAATCTGCTCCACCCCTAAACAACGACTAAGACGACTAAGCGTGCTTCCTCTCCTCTCCTCGCTCTTAAAACACAATTTAATTCAATTCAACACAGTTTAATTAATTCAATTTTTTACTTGGAAACTATTGGGTGTGGGGATCTGAGGATTATATGGTTAGATGGGTGGGAGGCCATATAGCAAATATTTAACTACTACGAAATCACATCGAAGGTAAATATAAAACGGAAACGGATACAAAAACGTAAACGCTAGTGGAAAAACACACACAAAACCCGCAAAATATTTACTTTTGCTCGTTGTTGTTTTTTTTTAGGTTTTTATTGAAATTTTTGTTGTGTTTAATTTTCAATTTTACGCACTAGACATTTTTTTGCATTTTAAAAATAACTTCAACACTCGCATCAAATTTAATCGGTTCGCTCCTCTGCCAGAGAGAGGTCTTCAATGGGGGGTTTGTGGGGATAGAAAAACCCAAGCAATCTTGTATCTTGAATGGGGTCTCTGCGATTTTAAGACAAATAATAAATTAACTACTTAAAATTAGTTAAAAAACTAAAGTAAAACGTATTAAATTAAAACAAAATACAGACGCAACACAAACGAGTTTCAAGTTTGTCGAATACACAAAAAAAATCAGTATAGGTTTTAGATTAGAACACCCACTACTCCTTCACCGCTCTCGTCGATTGATTTTATTGTTTATTACCCATTCTCTTATTTCTTGCTGTCCTTTCCTCATTTACCAAAATTAAACCTAACCTCAAACTGTGCGGCACGGCGCAGCGTGGCGTTTACCAACACTGCTCTATCGCTCTTTCTCTCTCTCTCTAACTACACAAAAACTACAACTTGCTACATGTGTGTGTGGGTGTGTATGGTGTGTGTGTTTGTCGGTCGGTCGCCGCTCTCCACCTAACCAGCTAACGGAGGCGCTTGTCGCTGCTCCTCTTTTCTCTACACTCTATAAATCATATTTCCTACCTCGTCGACCCTCTGTTCCGTTCCAATCGCGCCTGTCAACACTGTACTTAGGTTCGCTTAACTTACACGCTAATGCTTTGATCTTATATACTAGGTTTACTCTCCTCCGTTCCTTCGACTCGTTATTTTCTTTTCCTAAAACATAAATTTTGTTTCTGTCTGCCTTGCCAGGGAGCGAACCCCCCTCCTCATCCATCGCATCTCCTGCATCAATTTATAAATAACTTAGAGTTTAATGCTTTCTCAATTTGCTTAAGTTGTTTGCTGCTAACGGAAGTAAAATCAATAAAAACTATAGAAAAAAAAGATTGCACTTTGTGTGTGGCGTGTGGTGTGTGTGAGAGTTCGAGTATGTGTGTGTGGTGTTAGGATGAGGAAAATTAAAAAGTTTCGTTCGATTATGTATTGCTGTTGTATTTGTGATCCTTCTGCCGATGACAACAAATGCAGACATCCTCCCCATAGAATTTTCTCATTTTTGTTGCTTTGCTTTTGGAATGTTTTGGCAAAATATTTTCCGTTGTCCCTCGCTTTCTCCCCCCAACTCCCTCTAGAAACTTTTCCCGATGCCTGCATTAAGAGCTAAATTCACATATGTATGTGTGTCCTCGTCCGTGGCTGTTAGTGTGTGTGTGTGTGTCCATCCTGCATTTGTTGCTTTCATAAATTTGTTTAAATTTTAGTTCGTAGTCAGTCTAAAGCAAATTAATCATACGAGTAAGTAGTAAGAAGGAAACAAACAGAATAACATTTGCATATTTTGTTGAGGTTTTGGTTTTTGGGCTTAGGAAGACTTTTGGCGTTGTGTTTCTTACTTTTTGTATATAGTATGTATGTTTATATAATATATAATATGTGTATATATTGTATACATATATGCAGATGAACTTCTGGCTGATGCGACCTGACAACTCTAAACCGAGAAATCGTGTTGGCAATCCCCATACACATCATATACGAAAATCAAATCAATTCAAAGACTTGGCTCAGGAATGTTGTTTTATCTGTGAGTGTGTGCGATCCTCTGGGTGTTTGTTGTCCTCGATCTGTCTATCCCTCTCCCGTCAGCACTCCACAGCACTCACATCACTTCTTATTTCCTCTTGCTCTTTTGCTTTCTTTTTTTTTTAATTCGGAAAAATCACAAATACAATGGATGTCTGTCTGCGTCTGCGTCTGCGTCTGCGTTTGTGTGTATGTGTGTTAGGGTGTCTGTGTCCATATGTTGGTGTTTCAAGAAAATAAATATAGGCTAGGCTCTGAAAAAAGTGTTCAATTTAAATTCAAAACTTGCTTCTCCACTTCCCAATTTCCATTCTACATTCTCCAAAATCTACTTAAGAGACGCTTACAAGACTAAAGAAATCCTCGCTTATTAACTAAGTTTCACTAAACGTAGTTCTTCTTTCTTACTGCTGCTTTTCCTTCCTGTTTTTTTTCTTCTGTAAACATTAATCTTTTTTTTTGTTTTATATCTGTTCTGCTTCTCTTTCGGTTGTTGATCCTAACTCTGGCTAACTCTTCAAAAAAACCCAACTCGATCATTCCCTCATCGTTCTATCTTCCGACTTTCCTTACTTCTCCTTCTCTTTCACAAATCTAAACTACAGTTCTACAATTTCAAATTTATTTCCGTGTTTTGTTTTTTGCTACTTTTTGTGTGTGTTCTGTTGGTTGGCTTTTGCTATTCCCTTTTATAAAGTGTTTGCCTCTTGGTTTCCTTGCTAATCATCCATTTATCTTCTCGCCATCATTTCCTTCCATTTTCTTCTGTTTTCTTGCATTCTGCAGAAAAATATACTATACCTAACTTGGTTTTTACCTTCAGTAATATGTCTAAAAAACAGTTAAACGTAAAAAACTGTAGACAGCTACAAAAAATTCATTCATTAAATCGACTGATGAGCACAAAAAATATGCTAAAAACTAGTACAAGATTTATCTCTTCCTCCTCAACTCTTCACTTTCTTACTTTCACTTTCACTTTCACTTTCACTTCCACTTCTACTTTTACATCTACTTCCACTCTTTCTTTTCCGGTTTCTTTCGCGTTCGCTTATTTTCAATTGTTTTTAGATCTCTAGAGCTACTGAATCTGCTGCTTACTGCAAGTTTCTTATATTCTTTAGTTTTTTTTTAGTTTTACTTTTTGTTTTTTTGCTAAGTCTTAAGTCTAGTTTCGCCCCACTTGGGGGGACTCTTTTTTCATCCTCTCTTATGTTTTTAAACGTTAAACTTATGTTTCGTCTTCTTCTTTGACTGCTTGGATAGCACAAAATGAATGTCAAAAAGGGAGATAGACATGTTTTTTTTTTCATTTTAAAGATATTTTCGTTTTGCCTTCTTTTCTTTTTGGATCTTTGCTTTATACAATTGCATTTTTTGCATCATTTGTGGGGAAATAGTTAAAAAGAAACAAAAGATCTGATCTTACCATGCTTTTGTCGCTAACTACGCTAACTGCTTCTTCTATTTCTCTTTCTGCTTTTTGCTTTCTCTTCTTCTGCTTCTGCTTTGTGCTGTTCCAACACTGCTCAACAAAATACAAAATAAATATTACAAATTAGACAAACAGAACAAAACATACATATGTAGGGGATCTCCTTCTCCTACACTTTTCCTTGTAGCAGGCCACAAAAACAATCAAAATGTTGCCTCTAAGGTAAAAAGATTTCCCATCTTTTGCTTTTGCTTGCTTCGTTTTTGCTCTAGATTTTGCTGCAGTTCGACTTAAGATTTAGGTTTACTTTTTTGTTGTTCTGATCTTGTTTGTTCTAATGAACAAACTGCTTTTGGGGTTTCCTTTTTATTATTTTCTCCGTTTCTTCGTTTACTTTTTAATTTTCTTTAACATACATTGCACACACATTTATTTTTTGTTTTGTTTTGTTTTGTTTTGGGTTTCGGTTGCTTCCTTCTTACATCATTTCATTTCACAAATTTCTCTCTGCTTAGGTTTTTTTGCTAGCTCAAAATTAGCAAAATATTTTTATATAGTTTTTGTATTCTTTCCTTTTCAATTTTAACATTTTCGTCGATCGGATCCCCTCCCGGGGTATCTATCCCCATGCAATTTTAAATCTTTTTCTTTCACTTAACGAAACTAGACCTTAACTAGAATCTGCGTTTGGATTTACTTGCAGATGTTTCTCAAGCCTTCCATTACTTTGCCCCCGTTTGACTTCTTCTCTTATATTCTCCTCTTCTTTTCATTCCTCTCCTTTCTTTCAACGTTTTTTTTTTGTAGCAGTTCTCTTTTTGTAAATATTTTCGACTGCCTCTAGTTTGTTGTTCTCTTAATTTTCTCTGTTGTTAAGCAACTTTGCTGTTTCCTTTGCTGTTCTCTGCGGATCTTTGCTGTTTTTATTTAGTGTATAACTATTTTCTATTATTTAAGTTTAGTCTTTGCTTTCCTTCACTTTTTACTCGCTTCTTTCTTTTTCTTAATGCATGGAAGCGTTGCTTTGCTCTGCTTTGCTTTGCCCTCTTCTCTCTCTTTATGCACTCTATGCACATTCTTCTCTCCTGGCTTACATGTATCTCAATTCATGTATCTCCTAAACTTCATCCTCCTAAACCTCACTTATTTATACATAATTTTCTTTCTCCTAGCTTTCGGTTTCGGTTTCTCTAATGTTTTCTGTATCTTTTTGAAACATTTATTTTAGTGAACTGCATTTTGTTGTTGTTGTCTGATTTATCTGCTTCTGAATGTTCGATCTGTTGGTTGTTCATGTGGTGGTTATCTTCTATATCCGATCTGTTGCTGCTTCTGTTGTTGTAGTGTTTGATGTTCCTCCTCCTATTGCTCTGGGGCATGCTCTCTCACTCGTCCAATTTATGTAGTACTCAAATGGGGTACTATTAGATTATAGCTAGAATGAACGAAGCTTTCATTAGCAATCAGATGTAATGGTACATAAGTTGTAGTTATAAATCAGGGTGGGTATTGGGAGTGGTTGAGGGTATCTTTTGGCCATGGAGTGGAGGGACTCATGCAGGAAATGGATGATATTTACCTAGTATGGATTACCAGTGATTAGACTGCTTAGTAACTATACTAAATATATGAGAGAGAAAAAGAGAGAGAAAAGATGTCGATTGTCATTTGTTGGTTTTTGATTTTGTTTGTTGTATCATTAAGAAAGCAGCAGAAAGAAAGAAAATAAACAAGTAAGTTACATTGGTTTTAGAATTATTTGATTAAAATGATTGAAACATATTATTAATTGATTGATTGATCGTTTGATTGGTGGTGAATGAACAGATATCTGAAGCAAACAGGCAAGCAACAACAGGCAGCACTCAAAAACACATGAAGCCGATGATTGTCAGTGTGTGTGTTTGGTTTATGTGGGAGTTTGAGTGTGTGTATGTGTTGCGTGTATGAGCAGTGTTGGCAAGGGTGTTAAAGTGTTGTGAAACTTTGAATCCTTGGGAGAGGTTTCTGTGTTGGAAAGAAGCTCTGAATTGAAAGCAAATGAACTGAGGAGGCGAGTGATTTATGATCATCTGTGTTGGTATTTGGTGGTTGGGTGGTGGGTTTTGGGTTTTGGGTTAAGAGACAGAGCGAGAGATATCTAAGCTCTAAGAGCAAACGGCGCACATGCAAAACAGTGTTGGTAAACGCAAGAGAGTTTCGATATTCGTGTGGTGTTCTACAACCCAAAAATGGAATAATGGAATGGCAACTAAATCAGTTTTTGATGGGGAAAACTCGTCTCTTGAGAACTTCATGGAGTTGGTGGGATGGGGCAAAGAGATTTTGAAGAAACTCAGAGGCAGTGATGCACAGAGAGCAGAGAGCGTTGGCCACAAATACAGGGAACAGAGACAGAGTGAGAGAGAGAGAGAGATTCAGAGACAAAGACTGGGAGAGAAGAGAGAGACATCACTCACCTCGCGAAGACCTATTTGGGAGCGGCTTGATGTGGATACTGTGTGTATGCCTCGTCGGGTGATGCAGCTGTGCTAGCCTGTTCGGAATCTGTCATTGGCATTGTTGGTATAATAGTTGGTGGTGCATAATATGGATAAGTTGGACTAATATACTGTAACGATGGAGAAAAGTTCTATAAAAGAAAAACCGAAAAGAAACAAAACGGAAAAATGTATATAGAACAAACCAAGAAGAAAGCAAAAAAACACATTTCAAATAAAAACAAGAGTAAGGAATAAAAGAAAAGAATAGAAAGAGTACAAATTATATATCAAATTATTGAAGATTTATCATTTGGGGGCACAAACAAACACGGCCTCAGCCGCATCCAGTGTGCAAAGTGGAGAGAATTCTCTTTCTTTCTTTTTATTTTCAATTGAAACAGATATCAGCCATATATATCGTATACATATATGTTGTATATCTGTGTGTGGCTGCACACACACACAAATGTATTCAATAGAAAGAGTTAAGGGGGGTCATGGGGATATCGATCGATTTGCTTACAGAGTTGCCAATCTGCAGGGTGGCCAACTGTGGCATCATCGTTCCATATGGCACGGCCGTGTCGCCACTGACCATCATCGAAATGCCGCGGGGTTGCACCTGGTTGACAGCCTCCGGTTTGTATGAGGTGACGCCCAACTGCGGAGCGGCAGCCATTTGCATGTACTACGAAAACAGAGAGATTAACTATACAGGATCGATTCCATTGAAAATCCATTCAGTTACTCACCTGATCATCTACCTGAGTGATCGGCTGGGTCATCATATAGCCGGGTATCCACTGGGACCCAGCCACTGGATAGCCACCCACCTGGGGGGCACCAAATCGCGAGTACGGCACACCAATGGGTGTGCCCACATTGACGCTGACACCATTCTGCTGCATGCTCGGGTCATAGGTGACGGGTATGCCCTCGGCGGAGACATCGCGCCACGCACGGGCATTCGGATCGGGGGTCTTGAAGAGATTCTTCTTTTTGGGTCCGCCATCGGCGAACTTCACCAATAGTGGATCTTTGGCACCCGGTATTGTGTTACCATTGAACATCTGAATGATTTGCTCGCACTTCTCGCGACTCTCCATGCGGGCGAAGCCAACGCCTGTAAAAAATAATCAACAAAAATAAATAGACGTTGGATATTTCGAAGTATTGCTTACCCTTTGAGTTCATTTGCTGATCACGCAATATTCTGGTCGAAACAACTTGTCCGTATTTCGATAGCATTGACTCCAGATCAGTTTCTTTGAAGTGGGGCGGCAAATTTGCAATATACAAATTTGTGGGATCCTGTTCCTGTTGCTGTGTGGTTGTTGTATGTGGATTTCGGGTCAGAGATCAACACACGGGAGATTGTTGTTGGTTGAAGGATCAATCGAATTGAATCAGTTGAAAAGTTTGGATTTGTTTTGAGTTTTGATTTGTTTGTTGTCGGACACAAATGGTTAAACGTTACACAAAAGCAATTGGCATTAAGCATTGGTGTACACATTGGTGTGTTGGGTGTAGATGTGTGTGTGTGTGTGCACATGTATATGTTTGTGTGTGTTTATTTGTAAAAGAGAGAGAGAGAGAGGGGAGTAGAGAGAGAGATTAAGAACATAGAGAGATTTTGTCATTAGTAAAAATTCAAATTTCTTTCCAAAAATGTTTCTGTGTTGTCGAACTCTTTATCTTGTCTGTTGTCTGAGTGTGTGTTAGTGTGCGTGAGTGTGTATGTGCGTGTATCTGTGTGGTAAGTGTGCCTGACTGCTATGAGAATGTATTTTTGTGTGTGTATGAATTGCCTCACAGACTTATCTTAAAACACAAAACAAAGGAGCTCTCTTTGAGAGAGCATCCGTAGACCTATGACAAAAAAAAATAATAGAATCCCCCCCTGAATATCTGGTAGATCTGGTGTTCCCTCATTGCATAAAGTATGGCAGGAAATTGATTAAAAATGGCTTAACTAAGTTAAATACCTGATCAGCTGATTTAGTATAAAGTATGTCTTAGGGTTTTAAATGAGATTCTGTTTGTTCGTTTATACTTAGAGTTAAGATTGGTATTTGGTTTTGATTTGATATTTTGGCCGGCACAGGTTTGTAGCAATTTGCGTACTCAAAACTCAACACAACAACACAACTGTTTCAAGAGCAGGTTGCAGTACGAGTGGTAGATGGAGTAGTAGTAGTAGTAGTTGGAGTAGTAGTACAGGTTGGTTGGTGGTTATATACTTTTTTTTTGGCTGGCTATAACTTCAAAATACACGAGTATACAGTTTATACAGTTGAATATATATTTAGTTATGTAGAATATATCTTTTTAATTGAATACATATATGGAGATATATATATATAAATGATTTATTAGAAGAGAGATAAAGAGAGAGAGAGATACGCTATATGTGGTTATGTTTTTACTTGTTTCTATTTGTGTGTTTGTTTTTTGTGGTTTTCTATGGTATTTCTATGGCTTACCAAACGGTTTAAGGCCTACGCAAATATATACTCACGCAAATACAAGTGTTTGTGTGTGTGTTCGGTCTCTCGATTACAACGGCTACTTGTGTTAGCCATGTTTTTGCCATGTTTTTAATGAGCATTTAATGCCTGCCACCAGAGTGGGGAGAAGTAAGAGTGGGTAAGCTCTTTTTTAACGGACAAAACTTTTTGATTTGTTTCACAGAAGATTTAATATATGCAGCGGTTGATTGCCAGAAAGCTTTCGATACGGATAAGTATACGGATTCCAATAGATTTTCAACAGATTCCAGCATCCAGCAATAAGCCTCTGTTAAGTGGCGGCTAAATATTGTTTTGAGGCATGTTTGTTACAAGTGGAAAATGAAGATGTTGCCGATTGGCGGGGAGATTTTGTCTACTTAAATCGATGAGTGTTATTTTTCTGCTAGTATCTAACCAGATTTACCCAGATGTTTAGGAACTAAACTACAATTAATGAAACTAATGGAAATTATATGCTAAAGATTGATGAATATTTTACTTAAGTTTTAAGATAAGTTTTCTTTATAGCTACCTTGAAATGTCAACCAAAATGAATGGAAATAAGGCAATTATCAAAAGTATAGGTACATGTCCTTGAAAAGTATAACCAAAGATTATAGAACACATCCTGCTCTAATAAGAAATTTACTTTAAGTCTTTCTTATCATCTCAATCACTTTCTTTAATCTTTGGTGTTCTACTTTTACTCTAAGGGGTGAAAAATGTCTAAAAATGTACTTCAAAATGTAATGAAAACCAAGAATAATTCCGTACTTTCTTTATGACTAACTTGATTGATTATACGAAAGGGTAGGGCTGTATTATATACATAAAGCTACACCTATCAAATGTCTGTATGTGTATGTATTTGTGTATATGTATGCTTTGTATACCTAATGAGCATGAGATTATTATACGCTATTATTACAATTAAATACCTGTACTATAATGCTTAATGCAATTAATTTACCAAACAAATCTCTCACTTATGGACACTATTGAGGGGGAAATTCTGTATCATATTCTATAATTCAATTGTATTTGTTTTGCAACTGCTAAAGGAAGATTAAAGAGAAGGATTATTTATTTGATGACTTTCTGCTTCATAACTAATGGAATGCCATTAATAAATGCATTAATTCTCAATCAAATATATCGAATGTACACTAAGTCTAGTCATTTATTGATTTTGGTAGCCAATGGAACTACCTCTAGCGAAAATGAAAAACCAACAAAAAGGCGCATTAAGTTCTAAAATTTTGATTTTTGAGGTTTGTTTTTTTAATACTAATCAAATTGTTTGTAGTCTCTATTGGTTATAATGGAGGATAAGTACGAGTATGTGTGGTTTTTGGTATACGACAAACGGTTATACAAAGAGAGTCTTGAAACAACACTACGAACTAGGGGGATGGGCTAGGGGACTGGGGTTTGGTCTTGGTCTTGGTCTTGGTCTTGGACGGGAAGGTACTTTGGGCTGGGATTCTGGATGGATATGATACACAATAATAATGGAAAATCGAAAGAATACACATTTAATTCAAAAAAAAAATAGATTTGTACTAGCATTTCCACGCTTTGGAAGGAGTCTAATTTCTTTTCCAGAAGAAGAATAAAATAACTCATCAAAAACCATGAACCAAAAGGGGGAAAAATCTAAAGAGAAACTTAGAGAAAACTTAAGTAGAAGGCAGCTGGTGGAGGCGTGGTCAGTACAGTAAACGAAATGAATAAATGATTTGGAGCTGGGGTTAGGCGTGGGGAGTGATGAGAGATTCAACTGGGGTGGGGGTTTCTCAGGTAGGTTTTTAGGATTTGGGCTTTGGGCTTTGGGCTGGGGATGGGGGATCTTCTTTCTGGGCGGTGTGTGGGGGGTGAGTATTACTTGCATGCAAACAAACGTACAATGGCCGGCCTATGAAGCACCCAGATACCCACTTTGGCCATCTGAGCTTGCACGCCCTTCCCCTGCAGTCCCTTGACGGCGCACTCGGCGAAGGCTGGCTGCTCGAAGTCGACGAAGCCGTAACCTGCAAGAAAGCATATTTTGTTTTTGTTTTTCGTTGTTTTTTGTTGTTGTTGTATTTTTGTTTTTTGTGTGTTGTTGCGGGTGTCGGGTGGGTTTGGGGGAATTTTTTATTTATTTTTATATATTTTTTTTTAATTGCATGTATAAATATATATATATAAAATATACAAAGAGAGAGACAGAGAGATAGAGAGTGTGTTTATTTAGATTTCCAATCGTTTATTTTTCGCACACAAATTTAAAATTTAAAACGGAATTCAATCAAGAACCGATCAAACAAATACGATAAAAAATGGGCATTGGGGGTCACGTGCAACGAAAACAAAATCGAAACAAAAACAAAATATTTGTTGAGCAAGAGCAAAAGAAAGAGAAGAAAAAACGGGTGAAAATTTAATTAATAATTAATTTGGTTTCAATTCAAGTAAATACAGAAAAAAATACTACAAAACAAATCCAATTCAAAGAGATTTCTTTTTTAAATAACTAATAGAAAAATAGTAAAAACACTAAATCAATATTTTTAACAACGAATTATAATTTGAAAATATTCAAAAGATACTGAAATAAAATCTATATTTATATTAATACACGCACACACACATTGCCAGTGAAAGCCTCTCATAGTTGTACAATTTGTACAGCTTGTTCAGTTATCGGTTATTTTATTGTATGTATAGAGGAGTATCATTATAGTCATTATCATTATCATTATCATTATCATTAGCAGTAGTAGTTTGGGGTGCATCTGTAGCAGTAGATAATACTACTGGTAATACTTGATTGGGTATTTAGTATACAATATCTATATATAGAGTGGAATGCATGAATGACACGATTGCGAAATGAGAAAGAAGTCAAACTCATAAAACTCATTTGGAGAAGAAGGAAAATCAAGTGAATATAATCGGAATAATTTCCAATCGAATGTTTGGTATGTTGAAAATAATTCTAAATAATATCTGCACAGAAGATACAATAATGTTTCAATTTATATTTTCGTATAACGAACAAGCCATAATATTTGACAATGTTTTAAAATAATAATAAGAAAAGGAAGTAAGAAAAAATAAATGGAAGTGGAAATGCTGAATAAAGATTTCCATTTTTCGTTGATATTTCAATTCTTGAAATTCTACAAGTATTCAGCATTCCCCCTGCCATAAATAATCAAAAATTAAATAATATTTCAATGAAATTGTAAATTATCTCTTTTTCTTTTGGGTTTGTTTTGTAGTATTTTGATAGGTATTTTTTTGGGTACATAAACACATACTAATAATACATATACGAAAAACACACATAAATAAAATAATGATGAGAATGGTGAAGAAAAAAATACCTTTACATTTGTTTGTTGTTTTATCTAAAATCGCCTTGGTTGATATAATGGTTCCGTATCTGCAAAGTCGTAAACAAAAGAGAACAGAAATGAATTAGAAGGTGTGGAGTTACATATGTGTGTTTACGGGGGGGGACAACGAGTGGGATAATCAGATTATAAACACATTCATGTATCTCTCGCTCTGCGTGTCTGTTGTCTCGTGGCACGTGGCATGTGCCACACAAATGTTGTACCTTTCGCATAAGTAATTAAAGTCCCATTAAAATGCAATTTTTATGCTCGAGGCGCTCGAAAGTAGGCAATGTGGGTATCTGTATCCCATTTTCACCTCTGCGGAACGAACGTACTGGGGCGTACCCCTTTGGATTGCTCATTTATTCTTGCCCCATAATTGACTTAGTCCGTGTGTCCTGTGGCGCTCCATTTCTGCCTGCCAGCTATCCAGCCTGACTGCCTGTCAGAGCGCTTGCTGCCTGATTGCCTGCCCTCCCCAGTGGACTGGCTTGGAATTAAATCGATATCTTCTTAGTTACAACTCCCCTGCCACCGCTCCGACCCATAGAAGCTCACCCCCTTGTAAATACATAGTTATAATAACATTAAAGAGTCGAGCCTCGAGCCTCGGCTTTCCCTTTGCCTTTGCCTCCTCCTTCTTTAATAAGCCGCTTATTTTGATTGCCTGCAGAGCTGCAGAGAGAGAGAGAGAGAGGAGGAGTCTGCACTTTTGCTAGAACGTGAAAAAGAGCTGGCAAAACAAATTAACCTTCTATTTAATTACTTGACTTATTACCAAGGAGCCTGCTCCTGCTCCTGCCTCCTGCCTCCTGCCATTCCCGAGACTCTTTCTGCAATGCTTTTCCATTAGTTTTTTATGCTTCTGTGACGCCACTAATAACTTATTTTTTATGCATAAAGGAAAATGCGAAATGGAAATGGCACTCGCCCGTTTCGTTTCGTTTCGTTTCGTTTCGTTCATTCGTTGATGTTGACCCATAATTAAGTGGTACGGGTAGTGGAGGCAGTTGTGAAAGGCGGGGGCACGCTGCGTATGCGTAATACCACACACATAATAATACGTTTATTTTCCCGCCGCACCGCCGCACCGCTGCACCATCGCCTCACTGATTTCTCCTTTGCTGGTGGTTTCGCCACCTTCCACCTTCCTTCTCCAACCGGAAAACATTCAATTTTTTTTGTTTTGTTTTGTTTGTTTTTGCGGCCATTGATGAAGCGTGCGCACTAATTAGTGGATTTTGTTTAGTTTGCAGAAACTTCTAATGGGCGGGGGGAGCTGTGAAGTACGAGGGAAGCAGACTATCATTTTTTGGGGGTTACTTTCTGGGCCTCCAAGGACCAACAGACCACAGGGAGGGTGCCTTTGGTGTCGTTTTTGGGGGTGACGCAGTCAAGCGGAAGGGACTGAGGCTTAGCCCCTCATTAGCAGAAGCGATGACGCGGGGTGGAGTGGCCTGCGTGGTGCGGTTTTGATATGGATTTAGGATTCCTTTTCACAGAGAGCGCGAGAGTGAGAGAGAGCCCTCAATCAATAGTCCGTCACATACAACATTTCGGTTCCGGATGGCTGCCATTTCGTATGCTAGATGTGGCTCCAAAAAATTTAAGCCTCATCTCAAAGCCCCAATTTGGGGATTCATTGTGCTGGATGGAGGAATATCTTAAGCGGAGAAGCTGCACATAAATTATGGTAAGACATGTCTGCCATGCCTAAAGATGGCGATAATTTCGCCAAAAGAATCTTTAAGCGTTTGTTTTCCGCTCAAGTCAACGTTGAGTTTGTAGAATAAATGTACTGCAAAAGTATCTCTAAATTGTGTAATTTCTCTCCCAATGAAAGTGCACAGCACCTCAATAGTTCCTCCCTCCTATGGTCGAACGAACACAACTGCAGAGAGTGCAGACAACTCTTTGTCAAAGGTTTCTTCTTACTTTCCGCCTCAAAGAGCGTCGCAAAAACAATTCAATTGAATTTGCATAATGGCCAGCCTGCACGCCCAGAGGCCACAGCCTGAGGGGCTGTTTAATATGACAGGTAGACCGCAGAGACACAAGAGACAGGACCGCAGGGCATGCAGGTTGCAGGTTGCAGAAATGCAGGAGATGCTTGATTGCATTCATATCTGATTTGAAGAGGCTTCTTTTTGGGAGTGGAAATGCGTATACATAGATTACTTATAGATAGGGATAGGGGTGAGTATGTGGTGTGTGTGTGTGTTTGTATATGTACTCACTGTGCACACATATTAACTAGATCCTTGTCGGTTGTGCCTTGCTGCAGTCCGCGTATATAGAGATTTGTCTTTGACAACTGCTCGCCGCCCTGCTGGTTCTGATTCTGAACGGTGCCGTTGGGACCCATGTTCGTGTTGGTATTTGTCGTGTTGCTCAGGCTGGTGCTCAGTGTGCCGCTCTGGGAGCCGGTGTTCGAGGAGCTGCTCGAGTTGGTGTTGCTCGGTGAGGCTGCCGTTGGCACACGCTGGCCGTACTGCAAAATACGAGAGAATAAGGAGAATGGAAGAAGCATATGAGTATCTGGTTGAAAATATGGTCAAGTTACTCCTCATGGTATTTCCCTTCACATAATCTGTGGATGACTTTGGGGCAAAGCCTCTCTTACTCGTGAGCAAAAGTATTTTTATTGAAATTCCATCTGAAAATAGCTGCACCTCGAAGTTATTGAATGTTGCTGCTTGGCTCACACAATAGATACGGCAAAGGCTATGGCTATGGCTACGGATAGGTGGCAGCAGGAGAGGCATGCCCCAAGAGGGCGACACTGAGACACATTGGCATGTGGACGACAGCCATGACGATGGCGTTTTTCACTTAAAATGCCACACATGGGCGCCAGAGTGGGACAGAGAGATGGCAGTCAGGGACTGCCAGGAAGAACTCGGCTTCAGGATATTTTGGCACTCGTAGGAAGGCGTTGAAAATCTATAAAATTTGTATGCAACAAACAAAAGGCTTTCCTTTCCCACTCTCAGCCCATTCCCCTCTGCCGCTGCTGCCATTGTGATACATTTTTGAAAATTTGCCAAAAAACATTATGTTATTCGAGCGAAAACGCTGATGTATGCATACCGCACCAAATGTACGGGAAACGTAGAAGAAAAGCAGACCGAAACCCATACCGAAAGTTCAACTGGGGAAATTCCCGTGAAATGCAAAGCTGAAAATGAAGCGAAATATTTCTTCCTCTCTACTCTGCAAAGGAGTGAAGCAAATGGGGTTAAGCGTGCGTTCTACTTTCCTTTTTTTTGGCAAACTTTTGCACCCAACCACAAATCCATTTGCATCCCCAGGGGTTGGGTGTGTTGGGTGCACCGCTGCTTTCTAATTGATCGAGAACAAAAAAGATTTAAACAAGCAAAAACATTCTCAACGGACGTCGCTCATGTCAGCCAGCGGCTTTGTGGCCATTTGTGGATCAAATTTAAGTTGCAGACCGAAAACATAAGAGAATTTAATTGAATTCGCATGGAAATTGAATGCAATTGGATCAAAAATAATTCACATGTAGATCGGTTTTTTGGGAATTTATTTACAGCCACGCATTAGCAAGCAGACTTGTAAAGGAAAGGTGATGCCTCCTCCCCTTTAAAGCACATCCATGAGATACATTTTAAGTACAGTTTAACCTTCTCTACAAAGAAAATGCTCTATCCACATCATTCTCTCTGTGTGTCTGGCGCATGCAAAAACATAATTAAATAATAAATTCCTCCAGTAAATTGCAAGTCTTTTATTTGTTGTTGTTGTTGTTGCTCGCAAAGTCAGCGAATAAAAACACACAAGAAAGATGAAAAAAAAACACTCATACGCCCTGTTGTGTGCCAATGAACTTTCCGCGCATTCTTAGCATTCGGTTGCCTCTGTGGCTGTGGCTGTGGCTGTCGCTGTCTTTGCCCCTCTGCCCCTGTGGCTCTTTCTCTTTGTGGCCTGTGTGCCTCTCTGTCTGATAATGAAATTATATCGTTCTAATAATTTTATGCGCACAGCAACCAACGGAACGACGGACAACGAACCGGCAAATCAGCACATAAACTACTCATGGAACCACCAGATACAAAAACAAACTTCCAGCTACACACACACACACACACACACACACTTTCAGACACACCACAAACTAACAGATACCACAACTATATATTTCTTTTTTATGTGTGTCACGCCAAAATCGGCCAAACGACAAGTCGGGTGTCGGAATGTTTTTTGCATTTTATTTAATTTCCTCCCCTCCACTCCCGTTCCCGTTCCCTTTGGCTTTGCTTTTTTTATTGTTGCTATTCGCTCGCTTCTGTTTTTTAGTGTTTTCTTTTTTGGTGTATTATTTTTGTTTGCAAAAAAAAATTGCGTCATTTGCAAAAAATTTCGCTCTACGAATTTCTGCGCGCAAATTAGAAAGTTGTCTCTCTTTCTTTCTGTCTCTCTCCCTATCCCTCTCTCTTCTATTAATTATTTATTTTCGCTTCTCTCAATTTCTTGTGTGTTTGTTCTTTGATGGCTTATATCTTCCCTTTATAATTCTCTTCCGCTTGTTGTGTTATGTGCGGACCACACACGTGTGCCCTGAGACTTTGGCCAAGTGTTCCCATTGCTCCTCAGGTGCCCCCCCCTCTAGTGCCTCGCCTCTTTCTCTTACCACTCGTCGTATAAGCAGGCACACATTAGCACACGATGATAGTTTTTTGGATGTGTAATGCCCTCTCTGTGGACGATTATTTATGCGCATTTCATTTGTTTACTTATTTATTGCATTGCCACGAGACAGCAGGAGCAGGGGAGAGGAGCGATTGGGAGGTACTCGTACAAGCCTCTAGAAAGAGCAGCAGCAGGTTGAAGGCAGTGGTTAAGGTGGTTCCCCCCACCCAAAAGCGAAACAAAAAACTAAAAATACCATTTTAATGGCATAAGCGCAACTTTTTGATTGCCTCGCAGACAAACGGCAGGAAGATAGTAGGAGCAGGACATATAGGGGAGTAGAGAATGCCCAAGGACGAAAGGGAACACAAAGCCAAGACAGATGGCAGGACGACAACAAACAAGAAACGATGTCGTCTTCGATGACGATGGCGGCGGGACACGCAATTGTTAATGGCCTCTAAACTTATGGCCCACCATTTCGTTTGGTTCTGCGCTCACTCCTCACTCCTCCTTACTTTTTTATTATTTTTTAGGAGATTAGACAAATGTTCATGGGCTATAATGGTAGCGGTAGGAGGTGAGCTTCAGGAGGCATTTGGCGCAAAACTATTTTGATATGGGTCTGAGGATGGGGCGCTCTGCCCTGATGTCTTTTTCAGATATCGATTATGAAGATTGACAGACGACAGTTTGGGGGGGCATTTATTGGTCTGTCTGTTGTTTGCTCTAATACCCCTAGAATTTTCCACTTAAAAGGGGTCAAAGGGGTCAAGTGTAGAGTCAGGTAAAGAGAGGGAGCGAGGAATAAGTGGAAATCTTTGATGAAAAAGGGAAGGCCCAAGGGAATATCAATAGAAATTCACAATAAATTTCCATTCATCGAAAGATGGAACCAAATGACAGAAACAGAGGAAGATCCAGATACAGCCACAAGGTTTTGATCTAAATATTTTGGTTGGGAGGAACTAAGAAAAATAATTGAGTTAATTATTTTTGTTATTATTCATTGAAATTTGTTCTACTTTCTCTCCCAGTTTGCACTGCCACTAAAAACAAACAACTGAAACCCAAAGCGAAATCCAAATTCAAAGAATTAGAAACATGAAAACTCTCAAGGTGTGATTTTGATCCATTTCCAGCCGCCACACACATCCGTCCGTCTCCAGTCTCCACACTCGTGTTAACATCTCCATTAAAAAGCATTAAAGAAAAGATTCTCAGAAGGGGGAAACAGAGATCAGAGATCCATGCGTTGGAATGTGGGGAATGGGAAGGGGCATTCGCGGTCCGTAGACGAGTCACGTGCCACCGACAGAAACAGAAGAACAGAAGTGCGAAATACAAATGGACTTGGGGCATGATTTATGGATGTCGACAGAGCCACAGCCACATATAAAATATAATTCATTTAAGTCTTTTCTTTTCCCCCATTCTCTTGCGAGTAACAATTCCCAGTCTCAAGTAAATCAGTCTCAGAAATCCACTCCATCAGGAGCTTTTGTGACATTTATTAAGAGTATTTGTCCAAGTACTTCCAGGCTCAAATGTGTCCGTCAAATTTGGTTAACCAGAGGAATAAGAAAGGAATGTGGCCTAAAAGCCTGGACGGACAAACATCATTGGAGGGAGCCACAGCCACCGTTCGTGACTCGTAGCTCAACTGCTCTTCCAATTCCTGCTAGAAGTCTCTCCCTTTCTAGCTGGCGAGGGTGAAAAGTCATCAAATCAAAGAGCAAAAAGCAAAACAGTGGAAGGGCAGATGGAGGTGGAGGGGAGTGGAGGCCTTAATCCCCAAAATGTTCCATCTGATTGCAAGGGTGGTGGAAGGAAAAGCCACATAAAAATGCCTCTCACGTGACTTATATAAATTAAATGCGTAGCAGAAGGAAGAAGGAGTGCGATTGGGATTGGGATTGGGATTGGGAGAAGGGGAAGAAGGAAAGCTGACACGAAACTGAAAGATACGATAGATGGATGAATATTCATTCGAATGCCAGGGAGAGATAGAGCAGGAAATGTTAACCGTTATCCCATCCGAGAGAGGGGCATACGATTTCCCACCCAATAATTGACGCAAGTCATGCTGCAAAGGTGGCAGGTGGCAAAAGTCAGGGGTTCAGGGGCCATGACATGCCAATGCCAATGCCAGATAGAGAAGAGAGTGAAAGCTTTCCCAAGAATTTTCGTATCATCTGCTGCCGTGGCAGGTGGAATTTTCTACGACCCCCAAAAATATATAAAATAAGTGGAAAAAAATGAGGCAAAAATGTATGGGAAATATTTCTCCCGCACACAAAAAAAGCTGAAATATTTGCAGGCCTTCAATCGATGGACAAAGAGAGAGAGAGAGAGAGAGAGAGAGAGAGCGAGGCCTCCATTCTGCTCACTTTATCATCTACTTATAGGAGAAATTTGCAGGTTTAAAGACATTTCTATTTGTTGCCTTTGTTTCCATTTCGATGCGAAAAAGTTCATTCATCCTCCTCCGACCTTCAATGGAACATTAAGGCTCTATGGACAGTTTGTTTGTCCGACTTTTATGATCTGATCGTGATTGATAAGGAAAACACAGCTAAATGACTGCACGATTGTTGCATTTGCAAATCTTATCATGGGCATGAGAATAAGTTTATGAATCTATTCCCAAGAATATTTATAGTACCCCAATGCAATTTCTACATGTTTCATGTTACATGTTTCTACATGTTCGCAATCCAAGTTCATATTTATGTATAAATAAATGAGAAGAATATTTAATAAAATTCGATGCCATTTTCCAAGCAATAAAGTTTTTATTTCGCGGCTACAAATTATGCAGATTATTTTCATTTTTTT